CATCCTTCCATCCTTCCATCCTTCCATCCTTCCATCCTTCCATCCTTCCATCCATTCATCTTTTCGTACCTTGACAAGAATCAATCCCTCCTTGCTTGAGTCCGGCACAAAGCATAGATGCATGTAATTCCTTGTGATATGTCTCTTTACAAGTAGTTTGATTGACAATGGGCACTTGTGCCTGACGAAGAACATCAGCGTCTGGTCCCGCAAAACTCGTATCACCCCATCCTGTGATGTAGCACGTTTTTCCGGGACGTACTTCTGGRATGTTCCAGGGAAGACACACGGGATGGACATATCTGTTGAATGGATCAAGTCAATAGTCCTTATTGCAGTTAAGCACGACGACTCAGAGGTAGATCATATTCACAACGGTCACTCTAGTGTATATACTTCCATGTACATTCGTTTAGAATTCTATTCACGGCGGAGCTCTACAAAGAAACAAAACAGCGCCAGGGAGGGAGGGTGGGAGTAAAGAAAACCAAGGTGAGCACCCGCCGGCCAGGGAAGTGAGTACAGCAAAACAGTAATTATAGAGGCCTTGCACCATCATATGATGGCAGCCATGACAGGAGGCATATATAACAATAGAGTCTTTTTCTCCTGGGAAACTGAATCCTTTCTCATGTAAATCAGATTAAACCGGATTCAATTGTTCCTGCCTCCTGTCATGGCTGCCATCACGCGATGGTGCAAAGCCTCTATACATAAGACTCCGATCCTGTATTCCTGGGCACTTTTAATTTGAGGATTTACCACAGGTTACGTATTCTGAAACTTAGATCTATATTATTTTAGACCTTATGTTTTTTTCATTTCAGACCAAGTGTCATTCTCTTAAAAATAAGATTATTGATTGAGTTGTGCCTTCTCTTGTGTAACTGTTAGACAAAGAAGTGATACTCTAGAGAATGACACGTGGTATCTAATGTGACAACAACGTAGCATGCCCAAACTGAAAGGGTCAGTTGTCCAAATCCACTTGGGCGTAATGTTTCCCATTTCAGACCAGGTGTTATTTTCTTGAGAATAAGATTATTTGTTTGAATAGTCCCCTTTAAAATCCCTGCGCCATCTTGAAAGGTAGCCGTGAGCTTGCAATGATAGAGACCTTTTTTAATACCTTGGACAATTATTCACAGGTCTCTATCACTGCAAGCTCACCGTTCGTCTCGCTACGATACAAATGCACGGCTACCTTTCAAGATGACGCAGGGAACTGTGAAGGAGACTATTGTATGCATACTCAAACAAATGGGCATATTCATGCACAACCGTTAAACAAAGAAATGAAACTCAAGGGAATGACACGTGCCCTGCAATGGTAAACATAATATACACCTATTTCAAAAAACGTCGGTCGGAGATTCGAAATCTGAGACGGAAAGGCATTGTGGGTTGTAAGCTGTAAATTGTTTGTGGTTTTAATTAGTAGTTTGCAAAAAGTTAATATCTTGATATACTGACTTTGAGCGATGACCTGTGCTGGCAAACTATCTGGGTAAGTGTACATTGAATTCGTAACGAGAAAACACTCAGTCCTCCACAATTCCAATCGATCTCAGATTTCTGATTTTAGATATCCAACCGACAGCGTTTTTTGAAATAGGTGTATACGTATACAATGAAGCTAGGTCTTAGCTTGACACAGATTCACTAGTTAGTCTTACAGTTGTATCTCTAACCTGTTCAATATTGCTGGTCTGTCTAGCTTGAGAAGAGCGATATCGTGAGCGTGATGCGCGGGTGACCCGTATGATTCATGAATGATGACACGGCTAACATTAAATTCTTGTTCAGTTTTCACGCAACCTTCGCGTTTATAAGCGCCCAACCTAAAACACGGTAAACAAATACATTATGAAAAAGACAGACAAACAGACCGACAGACAGACAGACCGACAGACCGACAGACAGACAGACCGACAGACAATCAGTTTATGATGAAGATGATGATGGAGATGATGATGATGATAAGCAAACCGTTCCATCTGTACCTTATTCTTATGTGATGTTGTTGCCTATTAAAAGGACAATGCGCTGCGGTTAAAACCCATTGAGGAGAAATCAATGAGCCCCCACACCGTTGTTGCCAGCGGTTTTTAATGTATAAGCGAAACATTGCTTGCCAAGGCCAGTCCCCATGCTGAGCCGCCTGGCCTCCAATTATCCTGGTGTGTGGACGAGTTCCGCACAAAGCTGAAACAATACAAAACAAAGCAAAGCATTGGCATTGATTTTATCAAACCAGAAAATCAAACTCTGGGCTAATCTAAGTCAGGGTATGGGTAACTCACAGATCAAACCCTGAAACAACCTCTGAGCTGATCTAAGTCAGAGAATGGCTAGCTCACAGGGCAAACCCTGAAACAACCTCTGGACTGATCTAAGTCAGGGCATGGCTAACTCACAGATCAAACCCTGAAAAAACCTCTGGGCTGATCTAAGTCAGGGCATGGCTAATTCTCAGATGGAACCCTGAAACAACCTCTGGACTGATCTAAGTCAGATCATGGCTAACTCTCAGATGGACGAACAGTGAAGCAACATCTGGTTTTATTTTATTAAGGACACGGATAACAAATCTAATCGAAATTTAGAGGATTCGACCCAATCCACTATTTTCCCAATTTTTTAATACGACGAAGTACTAGCGTCCGAAACGTCAAGTTTTTTCATCTTTTCACGGTAGTATAATTTACCTTTTTATCATCACTGGTTCATTAGAAACACCGACGCAGCTCACACTAGTTTCTAGTTTCAATATTTTCTTATTTCATTCCCTAGAGTATCATTTATTTGTTTGTAATTTACTTGGGCGCAATCGAGAAAGACATTCAACAAGCGGTATGATTTACAAAGAAATGTATGGTCGTGACGGAAGACTTGCCACACAACCATACATTTCTTTGTAATTTATAGTGTTATCAAAAACATTTACTCCCAAAATAATGAACAAATTACCCTCGAAAATGAAGCATTTCCTCCAAACATTCCAAGTTATCAAATTCTAAATTTGATAAAAATGGGAAAAACTTACGTACGTTCTTGGACAGTGCTCCTCCAATGAAGCAGATCAAGACGGTCCACATCAACGCCATGACAGTACTGTACTTCAAAGACGTTAACTAATATTTTCAGTCCTTAGCGTTATTTYATACCATTATTTTCCACTTAATTGACTTCTAATATTATTTTCATCGGCCGTCTGAACAAATAGCATAAAAGGAGGTAATTAGATATTTGAGTTGTGTTCAAAAGATGAAAGGCGGCCCAAAAATTCACACCATCACAACTATCATTTATCATCAAATTATCTATATGTTAACGTTTTAGTTATATTCACTTTGAAAGCAGTGGTATTTTTTGCTATCTGATTGGCTCTAAGGATCTAAGGAGTACAATGTAATCAACATTCGAATCATTTTCGGAGTTTGAAATCGCACTGTTTTGAAGAGAGCAAACTGACCTAGCATTTAACCAATCAGATTACCGAAAACGAAAGCCGAAAATAAGAAAGGGACAGAACTTGAAGGAGTTTTTCTTAAAGACAGACTCTTTAGTGGTAGTGGTAGTGGTAGTGGT